ATTAAATATAATTAATTTCATTTTTAGCTTTTATAATAACCAAATTAAGTTTACAACGCTAGTCAAGATCCAGTGATAAACCTAATAATTTGCGTTTTCTCATCTATCCCTTTAATAAAGTGTATTATTAATTAATTGATTATAAAATGAGATCACTTATACTGCAAGAATTCCAATTATGATTCAGAGCCGCGTTTATTTAAAAGATTTTGAGATTAGGGAGGAAAGTGAGTTGTGGAATCATACGTAGTATTTTTAGTATTATTCTTAAAAAAAAGTTATCGAATGTTTTATGACATGTTAAAAATTAAAAATGATATATATAAAGATCATTTGCATTTTAAAATAGTTTTCTTAAAGATTTCATATGCATTTCAAGCCGTTTCTTAAAGATTAAATACGTAATATCGATATTGTCGCGGATCATAATGAAATCGGATTAAAATGAAATTTGGGGTTTCTATTTTCTAAAACCCACTTTATCGTTATACTTATTTATTATAAATTCTACCCCTAAAGCTGGCCCCCACAATTTATACTTTTCGGTGGCTTGTCTATTTCATGCTATACACAATTTCATTTTATTCATTTTAATCTGATTTCATTTTATTCCGGCACAATAATTGTTGACTAAGGATCGAAATGTTTTATATTTTCACATGATTATATACACAACTTATTTTATTCATTAATAAACGTGTTAAAATCATTCTGGTCACTTTGCTTTTTCACACAAATAGTGTGATTTCAACTTTATTTGTTTTTTATAAATATTTGGTCATAATCAGAATAAAGGTTTTTTTTTTTGATACGTGTCACATCGCTTGATAATGATTCAAAACATATTGGTTCGCATTCACTTTGTGAATATTCTCTCACGCGTGGGAAATAGTGAAAAGAAAGATCAAAGAAACTAGATATCATAGAATTAGCGATTATGGAATGTTTAATCTTTGTAATAACAAACGATAAGACTAATATTTTGTACGTGATGTTGTTTGATCGATGTTTCTTTTCAAAAGTTATTTATTATAAACCATTGATCACTAATACTAACAAATGAATACAAATTAAACATGATCGAATAACGATAATTTTAATAGTTACTCTATATTATGATTATTATTATTATCAATCTTTAGAAATTTCTATGTGGTGGCTTTGTCCTGCTTTTCTGAGCCACCGAGTATATGGCTAAGTGCATAGCCGTAACAAAACAAAAAGATCACGAAAATGTCACTGTTTCGAGCCTTTTCGATCCTTGTTTGATGATTAGCCTTTTCGAGCCTTTTCGATTCCTTGTTTGATGATTAGCCTTTTCGATCCTTGTTTACTAATTGATCGCGTATTATCAAAATATAAAAATTATTCGCTTATTACTAATAATGCTTAACTGTATACATATATATTTAATGTTTAAAAAGCACGAGGTTTGATTTATTTATTTATTATTTTATGTCACGGATGGTGTTAAGATCGGAATAAAGCTGTTAATAAAGGAGTATCGTATAGATGTATAGATGTATAGATGAATTCAAATCAACATATACCTATTACCTTAAAATAAACTATTATATTTTCACATTGATCGCGTCGTTCATCATTAAATCGACACATCTCGTTTGAAGTGATGTAAGATTTCATCAATAAATCCGGGTAATACAGAAAAATATGAAACGTGTGCACGATAGAATTGCACGATAGAATTCCAGACTGATCTCGGACATTAA